AATTTAAATTACCAAACCACCAAAGCAACTATACCAATACAAATTACATCAACTTCCAACTCAGCATAATATTATTTTGTTTTATTAAATTTTTTTTTCATATCATTTTTTTATTTATTGTTAATATTACTCTTTATTTAATTTTATTTGAATAATAGGATTTAATTTTTGCATTCCTATTTATTACACCTAAAGGTAAAGTAGCTAATCAATAAAAATAATAATAATAATAATAATAATTTTAATTGTGTGGTTTGTCAGATTGTTTTTTTTTTAATACATTCATCATGCAACGACATATTAGATCTATTTATAAACTTATTTTAATTTATTTCTACATATGACACATCATAAATATATTTGGTACAAAATATTTCGACTTTTAAATATTGGGTCAACTGTTTAAAATTTATAGTAATACTAATAACAACCCACCACTAACTACACACTTTTTCACACACTTTTTTTTTATTTTTTCTCACTCTTTTTTTATCAAAATCTATTACAATTTCTATTTAAAGCTAAAATTAACATTATTCTTCCAAATAATTTGAAATTAATAATTTTGTGCAAAAATTATATGTAACAAACAAAATCTATGCTTATTAATAACTTAACTTTTTATTGCTATTATACATACAATATGTGTATTTTTTTATTTTTTTTTGATTATCACATACATTTTTCTTTTTTTTATTTTTATTTTAATTTAATCTGTATCAAATACATTCACCTTGCTTTTCATTTATTTTTTAATTTAGTTTTTTTTTTATTTCATTAAAAAGTTATTTTAATTTATATTTAATAAATTAAATATTATTATTTATAAATTATAAAAATATAAAAATATAAAAATATAAAATAATTTATTTTATTTTATTTTATTTTATTCTTTTACATAAATTAAAATTCACACACCCACTTTTCTCTCTTCACCCACACTCACATAGATAATAATAGATTTTAAGATATCTCTCTTTTCTTTAAATAAAATTTTATTTGTGTATGATGTTATTTTTATAATTATCTTACTTGGAGCTTTTGTATAACAACATAATAAAAATATTTGCTTTTAAAATAATATCCCAATTATAATAATATTAGATAATCCTTTTATAAATTAAATCTCCTTCTCTTCACTTCATCCACAATTAAATATTTATTATATCCGTCTTCACTTGTTATTTTTGCCCTGTTGTTGTTGTTATTATTTTTTGTTGTATATCCGTGTTTTTTTGGTGGTTTGTTCTTCTCTAATAAAACACACATATACATTTTAATGCGCTCCATTAAAAAAAGTGTGTGAAATTTACAAAAAAAAATATCATTAAATTAATTTAAGATTTAATTATATATATTTTATTTTTTTTTAATCTACAATTATATAATTAAAATTAAAATTTTTTCAAAAAAAAAAATAAAAAAAAAAAATTATTTCTTTTGTTTTTCTATTCTGCTTTTCTTTTTTCTTTGTGTTCAATTATAATTTTTTCCTTGTGGAATTATAAAATAATAAAATAATAAAATAAAATCTATACCCCTATCGGGTATAGTTTTTTTTTAAATAAGAAAAAAAAAAAAAAAAAAAAAAAAAATTAAAAAGTTAGAATAGGTTATACAAACATTTTTAATTTTTTATTTTATTTATTTTTTATAATTTTTAATTTTTTGCAATTTTTTATTACATTCAATTTTATATTTAAAGATATTTTTATTTTGTTTTGTTTATTTTTTTTTTTTTAATTTAGAATAATTAATTAAAATATTAAACTCATAAACACTTTTTAAAATACACACGCACACAATAACCACACCTACATTTTTTTCACCATATAAATAACTTTGAAAAAAATTTTATGAAATTTTGGCACCAAGTTTTATAAATAAAAAAAATAATTTTAAGAGCAAAAAAAATAATAAAACTTTTTTATATCATCCCACAAAAACAATCATTATATCATATTTATAACACACAATCAACACAACAGTTTATTTCACAACATTATTATCTTTAAGCGTAATCATTATTTTTATTATAATACACAAGGATTAGTTAATAATAATAGTTAATTTTATCAGCCAAAAAAAGAGAAAGGGGTGTGTGCGCTTATTTTTTTTTGTTTTTTTTATTTTTTTTTATTTATTAATAAATTAATTTTAATTTTAATATAATTAAAAATTTTTAAAATTTAAAAATTTTTTTCTAACATTTTTTTAAAAATATATAACCCAAAAAAATAATAAATAATAAATAATAAATTTAATAACAAAATTTATTTATAAAATAATTAACTAACGATATTTAATTATTAATCAAAAACAACATATATATTTACAATATAATTAAATAATAATAAAAATGCTTTTTGCTCCTCCCAATTTTTCGGAAACTAGAGAGTTGTTTTGGATTATATACATTCTAATCCTTATACCAAAGTTTTTTGCTAAAGTAATGTCAGTAAGAGAATTATTTCCATTTTTTAAATGGGTAAGTTATATTATTATAATAGAGGAAAAAAAAACAATTGTTTTTTAAAATATTTATATACTAATTTAATAACCGTATTAAATTTTAAAAAAATAGGGTTTTAATATAAGAAGATCAAATTTTTTAGTACCAATTCTTTCAAATAATGTTATTGTTACTGGTGAAGAGGCAGTCCAATATGAAAAACCATTACCATATAAAGATTTACCACCACAAATACAGCGTAATTTAGAACAAAAAGAATATATAATACAAAATGATAATAATAATAAAAATAATAATAGTAACAATAAAAATTCAGATAATAATATAGATAACAATAATATAATACAAAACGAAAATAAAGATAATATAATACAAAACGAAAATAACAATAATAAAAATATAGATATTAATAAATCATCATCAACTGCATCATTAACAAGTTCACTATCATCAGAATCATTATCATCATTATCATCATCAGTATCATCAACAGCATCATCAACAGCATCATCATCAATAGTTTCGACATCACCAAATTTAGAATCAACTTCAACTATACCACAAATTACACCAGAGTCAACACCAACTTTAAAATCCACCAAAGTTCCAACCAAAGAACTTTCAAACCTTGAGATTTTAGAAAAAGTTGAAAAGGGCGAAATTTTAGCATATAAATTAGAAAGTGAATTAGGTGATTGCACACGTGCAGTTGAAATTAGACGTTTACTTTTAGAAAAACAATTACAAAAGAAACTAGAGACATTACCATATCAACAATATGACTTTGGTAAAGTTCAAGGTCAATGTTGCGAAAATGTTATTGGTTATGTACCAATTCCAGTCGGTGCAGCTGGACCAATTCTTTTAAATGGTCAAATGGTTACTATCCCAATGGCAACAACTGAAGGTTGCTTAGTCGCCTCTACACATCGTGGTTGTAAGGCAATTAGCGAATCTGGTGGTTCAAGATGTTCAATTACAAGTCGTGGTATGACTAGAGCTCCAGTTGTTCGTTTTAGTGATATCGTCAAAGCTGCAGAGTTTGTCAATTGGATTAATTCACCAGAAAACTATGGCACCCTCAAAGAAGTATTTGATTCAACCTCTCGTTTTGCTCGTCTTTCAAATATTAAATGCACTGTAGCTGGTCGTTCAGTATATATCCGTTTCAAATGTGATACTGGTGATGCCATGGGTATGAACATGGTTTCAAAAGGTGTCGAGGCTGTTTTAGATCTCTTAAAGTCACTTTTTGATGATATGGCCCTTCTCAGTGTATCTGGTAATATGTGCACCGATAAAAAACCATCATCAATAAATTGGATCGAAGGTAGAGGCCGTAGTGTAGTCTGCGAAGCTTTAATTACTGGTGATGTAGTACAAAAGGTATTAAAAACAAGTGTTCAAGCATTGGTAGATTTAAATATTGCTAAAAACTTAGTGGGCTCAGCTATGGCTGGTTCCATTGGTGGCTTCAACGCTCATGCTTCAAATATTGTAACCGCTGTCTTTTTAGCCACCGGTCAAGATTGTGCTCAAAATGTCGAGTCATCAAATTGTATCACTCAGATGGAAGCTTGCAATGATGGTCAAGACCTTTATATGACCGTTACTATGCCTTCAATCGAAGTTGGTACTGTTGGTGGAGGTACATCACTCCCAGCCCAAGCATCATGCTTAGATATTATTGGTGTTAGAGGTTCTATTGCTGGTAAACCAGGTGCTAATGCTGATCAATTGGCCAAAACCATTTGTGCTGCAGTTATGGCTGGTGAACTTTCTTTAATGGCTGCTTTATCTGCTGGTCACTTAATGAAATCTCATTTACAATTAAACAGAGCTAAATCACCACCATCAACAAATTAAAAGCAAAAAAAATCAAAAAAAAAAAAATTAAAAAAATCAAACTATAACTGATCGATAATTAATTAATGTATATAACAATAATCAAAATAATAACCAAATAATAATAGTGACAAATTATTAAATGTTTTCGACATATAATAGAAATTTTATTATATTAAATTCAAAAAATAATTTAAAAATTTCATATCTTTTTATGAAAAAAAAAACAAATTGTATAAATAAATTTATATTTTTTTTTTTTTGTTTATCCAAAACCTTTTATTTTTTTATTATTAAAAAAGTATTTTAAAAATTACAATTTAATTATCAAATTGTTATTTTAAGTATACCCAAAAAAAAAAAAAGTTATCCCAAAGCATAATAAACTTAAAAAATAATCAAATTTACCTGTTTGTTCTACAGACACTGCCAACGCAATAAAATAAAAAATAACAATGGACAGATATATATTCTTGAACACTCAAGTAGTTTATTATTAATTTTACTACATACTTAATATTTGTTGAATAAAAAAAAATTACTAATGCTGAAATTTTGTTATCCTTTGATAAACTTTCAATTTAAAATATTAATTTTTTTCTTTTTTTAAAATAAACAATAAATATTAAAATATTTTCAAATTTTTTTCTATTCATTTATTTAATAAATAATAATCCTAAGTTTGTAAAACAAATAAACTACTAAGTTTTTATCAATTTGAATCGAAAAAAAAAATATCCAATTGGGTTTTTTAATTTGTCTTTAATTATAAATATATTAAACCCTTTTTTATATCCAATATCTTTTTTATTATCTACAAAATTGTAGTTTGAAGTTTTTGGTAGTTTTTAACTTTATGTATTTTGTAATTTTTTTTTTGAAAATGAAAATGTGGTGTTGTGTGATAAATTCCAAAAAAGGTTTATATATCCAAAGATATATATATAATTATTTGAATATTATTTGTGAAAAAAGCAGATTAAAGTAGGTATCAAAGAATCGGTAGATCTTCTATCCTTAATCTTACAAACTAATAAAAAAAAATATTTTAAAATTTTAATTATTGGTAAACCTCATCGGTTTTTATAAAAAAGAAAACAGATAAATTAAAAAGGGTAAATTTGTGGTAAAAAAAATTCCTTTTTGGAATGTTAAGTTTGTAATATGACTATTTTTTTTTTTTTTTTGGAGTTAAAATCGATTACTGAAGATTGTGAAAAAGTTTATTTATTTTGTTATTTTTATTTATTTATTTTTATTTATTTTTATTTATTTTTATTTATTTTTATTTATTGTTATTTATTTTTTTGTTTTTATATATTTATTTATTTATTAATTTATTTATTTATTTATTTATTTATTTATTTATTTATTTATTTATTTTAAAATTAAAATAAATAGCTTTCTATTTTTTTAAAATTATATTATTTTATAAAAACAAATAATTTTATTTAATAGTTAAACATGTCTAATGTACCTTTAACCTCTTTGCAAGAATTTGAAGAATTTATTAGTGTTTTCCCAAAGCTAAAGCAAGATATTATTGACACCTTGGTTGAAAAAAAAATAAACCAAGAAATTATTGATTGGGTTGGTTTATCCATTGACGTGAACCCCATTGGTGGAAAGTATATGAGAGGCCTTTCAGTTTTGAATACTATTAAAGATTTTAAAGGAGTTGAACAACTTGATGAAGAAACCATTTTCTTAGGAAGGGTTGCTGGGTGGTGTATTGAATTTCTTCAAGCTTCTCTACTTATTGCTGATGATATAATGGATGGTGGTACATATAAATCTATATAATATAATAAGGAATACCCCTGTTAAAAAACCTATACTAAATGTGTGTAATTTTTTTATAATTTAGGTATAATGCGTAGGGATCGTCCATGTTGGCATCATTATCCAAACCCACTTATCAAAAATTTGAATGGAGTGGAACAACCTATTGGTAAAATTGCTGTAAATGATGCTTTTATAATGGAGTCCTGTATTTACATTCTTTTAAAAAAATACTTTAGAGAAAAGGTAAAAATACATCCATAATAGATTTTTTTATTTTATTTAATTCTAATTAATTTTTAAATAATTAACAGCCATACTACACCAAAATGCTTGAATTATACCATGAAATCAGTCATAATACATTCTTGGGTCAGCTATTTGACACTAGTGCATGCCACTCTTTAAAAGGTGATTTTTCTTCATTTAATTTAAAAAAGTAAGTAAATATTTTATTAAAACATTATATATTTTTAAAAGCTTACCATTTTTATAATAAATAAGTTATTTCCAAATTGCAAGATTTAAAACTTCATATTATACTTTTTACACTCCGGTTGCATTGGGTATGTTAATGTGTGGTATAAACTATTTAGATCCACAGTATGATGCTATGAAAGAGCTTTTATTAGAAATTGGTGAATATATGACTGCACAAGGTATGTTGCACAAAAAATATATTAGTATTTTATAAATTAATTAATGTAATGTTTTTGAATAGATGATTACCTTGATTGCTATGGGCTACCTGAAAATATAGGTAAAGTGGGATCCGATATTGAAGAAAACAAACTTTCTTTTTTAATTTGCCAGGCTTTGAACTATGCTACACCTGAACAAATTGAAGAGCTAAAGAAAAACTATGGTATAGATAACCCTGAAAATGTTAAAGTTGTCAAAAAAATTTATAATGATCTTGGTATGAAAGAAATTTATAGAAAATATGAAGACTCACAATATATTGATTTCATAAAAAGAATTGAAAATATGGATGATAAAGTTCCAAAAATAGTTTTTATAAGATTAGTTAATAGATGTTATAAAAGAAATAGATAGGAAACGGCGGTGTGATGTTTCTTGGTTTAATATTAGAAACATTAAAAGAATAAAATAAAAATAACTTGGACATTATTATAAAATATATAAAGATCGTTTTGTGTGGGTTTAGTGTTGTTGGATAAAAAATATATAAATTAATAATTTTGTTAATAACTAATAAATTAAAAATAAAAAAACACAACAAAATTTAGATTTTTTCATAAAAAATATAAAAAAGTTTATTTTTATAATTTTTGATAATCCAAAACCTTTTATTATTTTATTAAAAATATATTTAAAAAATTACAATTTAATAATCAAATTGTAATTTTACCACCTAAGATAATAGCCAATACTAAGAAAGGGTAGGAAAGGTAATATATTTTGCATACTCTCCAGTTTAACATAAAAACATCACCCTTTTTAGCGCCAAGATATAAATTATGCATTTTTTTAAATATTAATAACATTAATAAATAATAGAAATTATTTAAATAAAATGATATGTATATAACCCAAATGCAATACCTATAAAAAAAAAAAAATTATTAATAAACTACATAAAAAAATTGATAAAAAAAATTTAAATAGCTACATGATAAATAAAGAATAGAAATAATATAAAGAAAGTTTTTTTCCTAATAAAATTGCTATTGTAATAATTCCTGCCCTTTTATCATCATCATGATCTCTGTGGTAATTTCCTTGAATAACTTGGAGCATACTTAACATAATTAAAAAATTAAAGAGAGTAATAGGATGGCCCATGTCAAAAATAACAATTTCTTTACATTGTGAAAAGTAAAAGAAGGAGAGAGTACTAACATGGAAACCAAAGAAAAAGAATTGACCACATGCAACATATTTGGCAGGAGTATAAATAACACTTCCAATATACTGGATAATAGTAAAATACAAAACTATTTTGAAAATATCAAAATTGTAGTTCGTATATACCGGTATTAAAAGGAGTCCTATTGAAATTGTTGAAAACCACATATATCTTTTTAACACTATTATTGAAGTTAGCCCAAAAAGAGTTTTGTCTACTGTTAGATCAGTATCAACTTCATATAAAAAGTCAATCAACGAGTTGATTAAATAAGCTATGTTATGATTAAAAAAAGTTATCCCAAAGCATAACAAACTTAAAAAATAATCAACTTTACCGGTTTGTTGTACAGACACTGCCAAAGCAATAAAATAAAAAAAATAACAATGGACAGATATATATATCCTTGAACACTCTAAATAATTTAATATTAATTTTAGCATGTTTTTTTAATTATAATTTTTAATGAATGAATAAAAAAATTATAAATAAATAAAAAAATATTTTAAAAAAAAAAAAAAAAGAAAAAAAAAGAAAAATTAAAAATAATAAAAACAATCTTTATTATTTAAATTTTATCTATAATTTATTATGACAATATTGATAAAAACCTCCATCGATTGTGATAAAAAAGAACCAGATAAATTAAAAAGGGTAATTTGGTGGTAAAAAAAATTCCTTTTAAATTCTTGTGAAAATTGTGTATGGTTAAATTTGTAAAATGATAATCTTGATTTTTTTTTGGGTTCAAAATCGATTTCAACTCTTTTTATCACTGAGCAATGTGAAAAGGTGTATTATTTTTTTTTTTTTTTTTTATTTATTTATTTATTTATTTATTTATTTATTTATTTATTAATTTATTTGTTTGTTTGTTTGTTTGTTTGTTTGTTTTCAAAATTAAAATAAATAGCTTCTATTTTTTTAAAAATTATATTATTTTAAAAATACAAATATTTTTAATTAATAGTTAAACATGTCTAGTGTACCTTTAACCTCTTTGCAAGAATTTGAAGAATTTATTAGTGTTTTCCCAAAGCTAAAGCAAGATATTATTGACACCTTGCCTGGAAAAAAAATAAACCAAGAAATTATTGATTGGATTGGTTTATCCATTGACGTGAACCCCATTGGTGGAAAGTATATGAGAGGCCTTTCAGTTTTGAATACTATTAAAGATTTTAAAGGAGTTGAACAACTTGATGAAGAAACCATTTTCTTAGGAAGGGTTGCTGGGTGGTGTATTGAATTTCTTCAAGCTTCTCTACTTATTGCTGATGATATAATGGATGGTGGTACATATAAATCTATATTGTATAATAAGGAATACCCCTGTTAAAAAACCTATACTAAATGTGTGTAATTTTTTTATAATTTAGGTATAATGCGTAGGGATCGTCCATGTTGGCATCATTATCCAAACCCACTTATCAAAAATTTGAATGGAGTGGAACAACCTATTGGTAAAATTGCTGTAAATGATGCTTTTATAATGGAATCCTGTATTTACATTCTTTTAAAAAAATACTTTAGAGAAAAGGTAAAAATACATCCATAATAGATTTTTTTTTATTTTAATCTAATTAATTTTTAAATAATTAACAGCCATACTACACCGAAATGCTTGAATTATTCCATGAAATTAGTCATAATACATTCTTGGGTCAGCTAATTGACACTAGTGCATGCCACTCTTTAAAAGGTGATTTTTCTTCATTTAATTTAAAAAAGTAAGTAAATATTTTATTAAAACACTATATATTTTTAAAAAAACTAACCATTATAATAAAATAAGCTTTTTCCACACTGTTAGATTTAAAACTGCATATTATTCTTTATATATTCCGGTTGCATTGGGTATGTTAATGTGTGGTATAAACTATTTAGATCCACAGTATGATGCTATGAAAGAGCTTTTATTAGAAATTGGTGAATATATGAATGCCCAAGGTATGTTGCACAAAAAAACATATTAGTATTTTATAAATAAACTAATGTAATGTTATTTTAAATAGATGATTACCTTGATTGCTATGAGTTACCTGAAAATATGGGTAAAGTGGGAACCGATATTGAAGAAAACAAACGTTCTTTTTTAATTTGCCAGGCTTTGAACTATGCTACACCTGAACAAATTGAAGAGCTAAAGAAAAACTATGGTATAGATAACCCTGAAAATGTTAAAGTTGTCAAAAAAATTTATAATGATCTTGGTATGAAAGAAATTTATAGAAAATATGAAGACTCACAATATATTGATTTCATAAAAAGAATTGAAAATATGGATGATAAAGTTCCAAAAATTGTTTTTATAAGATTAGTTAATAGATGTTATAAAAGAAATAGATAGGAAACGGCGGTGTGATGTGATGTTTCTTGTATTTATTTTAAAAAAATATTTAAAAAAATTATTTTATTTTTTAATAAATAAATAAATATAATATTTAGTAAAAAAAAAAATAAAAAAACCTTTGAATATTATTCTAAAATATATAAAGATCGTTTTGTGTGGGTTTTTGTGTTATTAGGTAAAAATATATAAACTAAAAAACAAAATGAAACAATAGTTTTACCTTGAGCAGATAATTTAAAAATAAAAAAAATAGGTGGTTTGCGCACAAAATCACAGTAAAATTTTGATTTTTTCATAAAAAAAAAAAAAAAAATTTTATTTTTTTAATTTTTTTTCTTTATTTTTTTTTTTTTTTTTTCAAAATATTTTTAAAATTTTTAAAATTTTTTTTTAATTATTTTTTATGAAAAAAATATTTATATACAACACTATATATCAAAAAATAATATACAAAACCCTATATTTATAAAATAAAAATAAAATCATACATATTTATTTAAATAAATAAAAAATTTATATAAATAAAATTGAATTTTAAAATCAACTCAATCATCGTTTTTAAATCAAAATTTTAAACCAAATTTAGACTCAAGTTTTAAAATATAGAATAAAAAAAAAAATAGCAAAGTGAAGAAAATAAATTATATTCCTATATAGGTATGATATTCAAAAATATACATGTGCAATAATAATAATAATAATAATATGTTCCACAGAAAATATAGAATCAAATATATCAAAAATATTTAAAATCTCTAGAAATCTAGATTGTTTTTTATAGCTATAATATATATATATATTTTTTTTTTGTTTTTATTTTAATCACGACAAATAAAATTTTTATCTTTTTCATCATTTTTAATCTTATAAATATACATAAAATATACACCACCGACCAAATATTTGGTAATCAATAATTTATTGTTTGATAGTTTTATTATTTAGAAATTCTATTTTTATTTTTCATTAGAAAAAAAAAAATTGTGTTATATCACCCACAAACACACAAAATATTTTAAAACGAGCTCCACTTTAAAAACACACACAAAATTTTATCATATATTTTGGACACTATCACCACACTCCTTTTTTTTTTTTTTTATAAGAAATTGTGTATGTGTATTATAAATATTTATGTTTATATTTAATAACATAAAAAAAAAAAAAAAAACTTTTTTTGTCTTTATAAATTTAATTAAATTTATAAAATTTTAATCTCTCACATTTATATGTAGCCTTTTTAAATAATAAACAAATAATATAAATATATAAATAAATATACCTATTTCACATTTCTCCCTCCTTTTAATTAAAGATATTATAAAAAAAATAAAAAATCATCACATACAATTTTAATGATATAAAAAATTTAATTTTTTTCTTGTGTACAAAATAATTTTTTTTTTTCTCATTTTAAACATTAATCACTATTTTTCAATTATATAAACTTAATAATAAAAAAAAAACTATAATATATACTTATTAAAATTATAGTAATTTTTTTATAATTATAGGAATTTTATAAACTGGATAAAATAAACCATTTTTTAAAGAGGAAGAAAAAGTCTTCAAGAAAGCCTTCAATAGATCTTTCTTCCTCATCATCCAGCAACAATAATAAAAACAATAATAATAATAGAAATAGTTCAGAAATTGAAGATCATCTTCATAAATCATCAACTATTGTAGTTCAAGGAGGATTAAATAGTAGTAATAGCAGTAACAGTAGTATTGGTAGTGGTAGTGGTAATAACAATAATAGTGATAGTAATAATAAAAAATTAGTTAGAAATCTTTCTCATTCATCAATTTTAATTTCAGGTACAGATACATCAACAGTTTTAAGTCCTACATCAACAACATCACCAAACATTAATCCATTATCATCATCAATGTCGAAAGAACTTGCTGCACAAGAGAAATCTGAAAAAGATACCTCTAGAGAACTATTAGGGGAAATTCAGTATCTAGAAAGATTATTACAAGATCTTATTATTCAAAGAAACAATAAAACTAGAAGACAGGTAGTGTCAAATGAGGATCGAGAATTAACTAGAGAGGGAGAGCGTGATACAAATGATGCTGAATGGATGCGAGAGGAAGAACTCTTAAAAACTATAATTCTCAATAAAAAAGCAGAATTTAGAGATAAATTTGATAAAGGAAAAGTCGTTCAAAAACAACCAGCTCTTTTAAAAACAGGTGCTATCTTATCAATATTTCCTGGTATCACTGAAGATGTTTATTGTAATCCATTACCATTAGTTCATATTGATATCAATTGTAATAACAATAGTTGTAATTGTACCAATAGTAATAATAATAATTGTGAAAATAGTCAAAAAGAAAATGTAAATAGTTTAGAAATAAATAATAATAGTGATAACACTGAAAATAACAACCCAAATGTAGATAATAGTAATAATAACAGTTTAAATAATAATAATAATAATAGTAATAATAATATTAATAATGAAAATAATAAAAATAGTTTTGATAATAATGAACCAACATGTATAATTTCAACAATATCAGGCCCAAAACCAGATTTACCAGAAGATATCGTTGTTTATAAAAATTTAATTTGCGCAAAATCAGGTTCCTCTTATCCAAAACATTTTACCGGCAGAAGAGTAAATATATTTTTTTTTATAATATTTTTTATTCTTGAATTAATATTAACTATAATTTTTCCATTTAATTTTAGATTGGTGATCCAATTTGTGATAGATTTAAAGCAATTGTATATAAAGAAAAATTATTAGTAACATTAGCCGATGGTTGTAATTGGGGTAGATTACCATATGAAGCAGCAACTAAAGCTACAGATGGATTTTTATCATTTTTAGTTGAAAACCATCATGAAATTAATACAATTAGAAAAGCAGGTTCATTTTTATTAGCAGCAATGACAGCAGCCCACAAAGCGATTATTGCAGGTAAACAAGAAGTGTTTGAAAGTGGTACTACAACATTAATTGGAGGTATTCTTGCAAAGGTTAAACCAGTAGAGAACACTTCTGGAATATCAAATGCTCAAGTTAATCACCAAGGTGGTAGCAGCAATATTAATGGTCATTTTAGTGATCCACATCAAAACAATGCTACCAATGTAAATCACTCATCAGTATTCATTGGTGTAACTTTGGGTGATTGCAAGGCGTTCCATTACAGTAAAAAAGATCATCAATTTATTGACATCACTAAAGGAAATCGACAAAATGTTTCTGATGCCAGAGATCCAGGAGGTCGTTTAGGACCATATATTAGACAAGGCGAACCCGATCTCAGAAACCTTTCTGTTTTTTATAGATTTTGTGACGAAGATGATTTAATTTTACTCTTGAGTGATGGTGTACACGACAATTTAGATCCTCAACAATTAGGTATTAAACCAACCGATTTAGGTATAGACTCTGAAAGTTGGGATAAAGCAGGTCAAGAATTTCCAATTGAATCTGAAAAGGCTAAAAATGATTATCGTCAAAAATGGCTTAACGACCATTTCTGTTCCTCTTCAAATACTACAGAAGATTTAATTCCTCAAAATATCAGTGACAGTCTTTTAAGACATTGCTTAGTTACAACCCAATCAAGTAGGGATTTTATGGAAACCAACACAAGCAAGAAATTACCTTCAGATTATACCCTTTATCCTGGCAAAATGGATCATAACACATGTTTGGTTCTCAAAGTTTCAAACCAATATGATCAAGAATAATATTTATTTATCATAAACATATACAATATTATAGACTTATAATATTAATAACTTAATTTATTTAAAAAAGAAAAAAAAAAAAAAAATATTAATAACAATAATATCAACAAAACTAATTTTACCACACAAAAAAAAAAAAAAAAAGATAATTTTTTTTTCCCACATTCCTTTTTTTTTTTTTATTATTTCATTTTCTATATCAAAAACCAAATCAAACCAAATCAAACCAAATCAAATCAAACCAAACCAAACCAAATCAAATCAAATCAAATCAAATAATTAATAATAATAATAATAATAATAATAAAATAATTTAAAAAAACTAATAAAATAAAAAATATTTAATACTGAACCAAAAAAACGATTATATAATTTTTTAATTTTTATTTTTATTTTTTTTAATTTTTATTTTTTCAAAATTTTTTTTTTTTAAAAATATTATTTTAAAAAAAACGAAAAAAAAATCATTTATTATTATTTCTATTGAAATTTTGTATATATATATATTATAATGTCAAGCCAAAAAAGTAGAGTCACATTTGTAAAGTAAGTTCTATCATAAATGATTTGTTTAATTATACCTTAATAACTTTAGTAAATATATTTTTATTTAAATTTATGTATTTTTATTAATATTTTTTTATTTTTTATTTTTTTTTGTAGGAGAGCACCATCAAAAAGTCATGCAGCTAAAAAGTTTTTAAGAAATAAAGAAGCAAAAGAAGTTGAAGTTGTTAAACAAGCTATGTTTATTAGAGGTCAAAAATCATCAGATGTTATTCAAAAATTACAAAAAGAATTAGTATTTATCATATTCATTATTTTATATTATAGTTTTTTTTCTTCTAAATACTAATTATTTACATTTTTCATTATAGTTTATGTTAAAAAAACCAGAAGCTATTCAATATAATAAAAAAAATGCATTCCATCCAATGGAATCAGCAGAATCAATCGAATTTTTAGGAGAAAAATCAAATTCATCATTATTTACATTTGGAACCTCATCAAAAAAAAGACCAAATAATTTAATCATGGGTAGATTATTTGATAATACAGTTTTAGATATGTTTGAATTGGGTATTGAAAATTTTAAATCAATTACACAATTTGGATCAGATGGTGGTGCTGTTGGTAATAAACCAATGTTTATTTTTAGTGGGGATGATTTTGAAAAAAATGAAGACACAAAGAAACTTGGCAATTTATTTTTAGATTTTTTTAGAGGTCGTTTAGTCGAATATATCAATTTAACAGGTTTAGATCATGTTATAGTTTTAACTGCAGTCGATGGTAAAATTTTTTTCCGTCATTATACAACAGTTTTTAGCCCATCAGGTAGCAAGATTCCAAAAGTTAATTTAAAAGAAGTTGGCCCATCTTTTGATATGTCAATTCGTAGAACTAAATTAGCCTCAGCTGATATCTTAAAACAAGCTCTTAGACAACCAAGTTCTCAAATCGTTAAATCTAAGAAGAATATTTCAACTGATGAACTCGGTCAAACACATGGTGTTATTCATCAAGGTAGACAAAACTTTAATGAAATTGCTATTCGTAAGACTAGAGCTTTAAAAGGTAATAAAAAACCAACAACTTTAGAAAATTCTGCAACCGGTGTTGATATTTAATTATATAAATAACAACCCTTAAAAAAAAATAAAAAAAAAAAATAAAAAATAAAAAATAAAATGAAAAAAAATTAAAAATAGTATTGGGTGTAGCTTTTTTTTTTTTAAATAATAGTAAAATAAATTTTATTTAATGTTAAAAGAAAAATTGGAACTTATAACAGGTAGTGTTGGTGATACATGATTTATATCATTTTGGTTCTGTATTATTTTCTTTCTTTTTTTTTATCTTTTTTTTTTTTTTAAATAATTATTATTTGTTTTTTTATAGTTTTTTTTTTTTTTTTTTGTATTGCTTTAGTTTTTTAAAACAATTTAATCAAATGAAGCCCAGTTCATTTATTTGTAGATGATGTCACATGCAGTGAAGATGGCTGGTTCACCTGAGTGGTTAATGTAGCCAAATTTGTGATAGGTACCATTGGTTAAACCATTTTGGACTAAAAAGGATGGGAAGTGGTATTTGTCTGGTGATACACATTCTAAAGACCACATTTGTTCTGGTTTATCAACTTTGAGGTTACTTTCAGCAATGATAGTAGCATCAATAATTGTTCTCATACCAGTATTGGTTAAAGTAACTTCCCAAACTGTGTATGGATCACTATCACCCCAACCACCCTAAATATAATCAATTATATTTAAAAAAAAATATTTATTAGTTTTATAATAGTTTTGTTTTTTTATTAAAAAACTTACAGTTTGGATTTGAGAAATTGATAAAGTGTTATCAGCTAAAGCAAAAGCAAAGAAGGCAAAAATTAAAACTAAGGCTAATTTAATGTACATTGTGTGTATTATTGTTTTATTAATTTTATTAAATTGTTTTTATAAATTAATGATTTATTTTAAAAAAAAAAAATTGTTTAAATAGATTTTTTTTTTTTTTTTTTAAAACTAATAAGGTAAAAAAATAAAAATAAAATAGTTATGTATATAGACTTTTGTATGTATTTTATAAAAAGGTTATTATACTATAATTATGATAAGTAGTATGTGGTAAATTTTTTTACTTTTTTCTTCTTTGGTAGCAATTTTATAATGATTAAATTATAAATTATCTCTAATCCCTTTGCGTTTTGTTGTTTTTGTAAAATTAAAATTCATTTATTTTTTTTATAAAGCTATTCTAAAAAAATGTTATTTTACTTTTAAATTTTTACGATTTGTTTGTTAAAAACAATATTATCTGTTTTTATTTTAAATATATTGTTAAATTTATATAATAAAATGATTTAAAACATAAAAATAATATTTATTTGTAAAGTTATATTACATTATCACTTTTTTAATTTAATTTATATAAATCACCCCTACACCAATTTTATAATATAAACAAATTATATAAAAAAATTATATCTGAAAAAAAAAAAATTAAAATCTGCCCCCCTCGTTCTAATTAAATAATAAATCTAGTATTATAAAATTATAATAGAAAATTGTATATATTATATTATAAAATTTTGAAACCGATGATATTGCAAAATGTTTTTTAAACATAATTAAATAAAAAACATTTGATTAATATTAAATATTAATTTATTACAAATATATTTTTTTTTTATAAGATAATGAATAAGGATAAAATATTATCAATTTTTTGATTATGTTTATAAAAGTCGTTATTATTAAATTATAATAATTAGTTTTCTTTATTTTTATTTTTATTTTTAATGAGTTATAATATTAACTATATCATTTAAAATTGTTGATCTAATTTTGGTTTGTTTGATTGGTTTATTTGATTTTTTACCAGTTTTTAAATATTCAGCAAAATCGGTAATTTGGTCTGGTTGGTCGTCATCAGAGTCAGAGTCAAGTCCAGCAAAGATGTTACGAGTTATTACTAAGCTGTCATTATACATATCGAATATAAAGTCAATGTGTTTGATATTTGGGTAAGATTTTAAAAATAATGTTCTTGCTGTGGGATTTGAAAGTTTTGTCATTAATACTGAAAAGAATTTAGTTGATGATGATAATGGTACTGTTCCATCCTTTTCTCCATGTAAAATATAAAATGCTGGAAAGGGTACTGGTAAACGATCGTCTCTAATAGATTTATCTTTAATTTTTTCTAAAACTCTAGTTGGTGAGTATTTGTCAAAATTTTTTGGACCTTTCATTGCTGGACGCATTGGTGATATATGTTCGAGACCTCTTGTGGTTTCGTGTAAAAAGTGATCTATTATAAAAAAACGGTTAATTTTATTTTAATTTTAGTATAAGCTTTATAATATTTACCATTAATATGTAAAGGTGATGATAATGAAAAAATACCTTGAATTGGTATTCTTTTTTTGGTTTTTTCTTCATCTGATAGTTGGTCAATAGTTTTGCTATAGTTTTCGACACCATATAATGAAACAATATGACCACCTGCTGAATGGCCCATTAAATAAATTTTATTTTTCTAATAGTTTTAGATAATGTATTAGTAATGATTATTTTTATTAAATAATTGAAATAATAAGAACATACATCGCCACCATAGTTTTCAATATTATCATAACAATATCTTAGGGCAGTATCGGTATCTTCAAGCATATCATCGATATTGCCTTGTGGGTGTAAAGTATAATTTATAACCATTACTACAATACCTCTTTCTGAAAGTTTTTTACCTAATAAAACATATTGTAATTTGTGGCCACTATACAATAAAAATTAAAGTTAGTAAAATCAGTATAAAAAAATGAAATTAATTGTTTATAAATGCTTACAATCCCCATGAGCCACCATGAACAAATAATACAACAGGACAATCTTTTTTATTATTATTTAGGTAGTTTGATTTTGTTGGTATATATATATCGCAAATATTTCTTGGTTTTGGACCATATCTTAGATTTTTGAAAAGGTATCCTTTTTTGTAATTAAAAAAATAAAATAATACTGATTTGATTGCCATAAAAAAAATGCTAAACAAAAAAAAGATCTCCAATATAAATAATTTTAATAGAATTAGCTTTTTTCTCCATCTTGGTAATACTGTTAATCTATATTTTTCCCTATAAATTAATGGTAATTCGTTGTAATCCTCAATCATTTTATTATTGTTTAAAAAAATAAAGTAAAAAATAAAATTTATAAAAAAAAATGAAATTTAAAAAAAATAAAAATAAAAAAAAAAAATAGAAAAAATTAAATTATTATAAAATTTTAAAAAAAATCTTTTTTTCATTAAATATATAAATAATTCAACAACATGCTACCAAATTATATTTTAAAGATAATAATAAAAATAATATGCAATCATATAAATTACCATAATAAATCATTGAAATTCGATAGCCGCAAAAATGATGAACCAAATAAACAATTAACTCTCAACCTAGCACTCGTATCACATTTATTTTTTGATACAGTATCATCATTATTAGATGTTTCAGTTAATTTTAATTATGACCCAAGCTTTTATTCTTTTATAAAGGATCTAGTAGAGAAAAAAGTTGAGTATGTGGATAGTTTGCCAAGTTATAATAGTAATATCCAGTGTAATAATAATAATAATAATAATAATAAATATTCAATAATTAAAATTGAAAATGTTAAATCTATAAGATTAGACTATATTTTTTTATTTGGGGATTCATACTTTTGCTACCAAATTTATGAACCAAATCAAATTGGTAGAGGGTTTAGGCTTATAAAGTTTTCATTGTATTCAGAAATTTTCAAAAAAATAAAAGAAATAAAGCAATTAAAGAGAATTTTAATTAGAAATTTTACAAATAGATGCGCAAACTATAGCTTCAAAATTGATGATTTAATTCAAATGGGTTATAAGAATATTCAATTTTCAGAAATATGTATTTTACAAGACTCTAATCTTAATGACATCAAACCAATTAAAAAAATTAACTCTTTAATAATATATTCAAACTTTGGCGATGGTGTTTATGATTCGGTTAAACAATTTGAAAAGAATTTAGAAAGATTGGTTTTCAAATCTGAAAAACCACCAATTAAACAACTAGCAGGTATACATGTAGATCAAAGCAAAGATAACTTTACGGTAGATTATAAACATTCATCAGCTATCCAGGGTATAAATTATTTTAGAGGTATTAAAAATATTGTTTTAGAGTCAATAGTAAGCTTTGATAATTTAAATACTATAATGGAGTGTACACCATGTTTATTAGAATTGAATTTTACAGTTTGCTTTAACCATTTAATATTTTCTTTATCAAGTGAAGATAATCTTAAGCAATTGGGTTACAAATCAGACTACTATTGCATTGGTGGATGTTGTGAAGAAAGAACACAAGATGAAAAAAGAGAAAAATCAAAAAAAAAAAAACAAGATGTTTTACAGTATTTTCCACTTCTTTTAGAATCTTCAAAAAACAATACGACAATTACAAAAATCGTTCTCAATCACAACTGTAAAGTATTTCCAAAGAGAATGGATTCTTCCGATGTAATCAATAATAAGCATATGGATAGAAGATATTCAAGTTTTTTAGAGAGTTTTACAAAGTTTATAATATCACTACCATTACTGGACACATTAATAATCAATGGTATCAACAACCCAATAATATTCAAATATTTAATACAAACTCTAAAAAACAAAAATATACAAAACTATCATCAAACCCTTGGTTTTAGTTGGTTACCATTCGAACAAAAATACAATAAAGTTTTTGATATTTTGGTAAAAGAAAATGAACATATTAAATCATTTAAATACTATAGCCAAGCAATTAGAGGATACGACGTAGAATATTATTATAATTATAATAAAGAATAAATAAAGTTTTAGTTTTTTTATTAAATTATATATAAATTTTTATTTTTTATTTTTTATTTTTTATTATTTTTAATTATAAATCTAAAATTAAAATTAATAATTCTAAATAATTCTAATATTTCTATAATTGTTATTATTATTATATTATTGCTATTATTAAAATAATAAAATGATTGTTTTATTGTTGGCTATTTTAATTATTTAATAATTCTTCAGAAACAAAATACTTTAAATGCTTTTAATTGATAAAAAATACGTTAGGTTGAAGATGGTGGATTTGAAGGAGTAGCTATAGTTGGCTTAACTTTTGGTTCATATACCAATTTTGGTTTTCTTTCAGTTTGTTTTTTTTCTCTAAATTGCTTTTCTCTTGGAGCTCTAGGTTTTAATGGTGTATTGGCATTTGGAGTTGTGCTGGTGGTGGTTGTGGTGGTTGTAGTGGTGGTTGTAGTAGTATTGTTACTATTGTTAGTTTTATCTTTTGGTTTTCTTTCTCTTGGTTTCCTTTCTTTTGGTTGACGTTTTGATCTTGGTTTGTTTTGAGATAATGAAGAGGAAGAAGATGAAGTTGGAATGGAGGAAGAGGAGGAGGAGGGAGATAATATAGTTGTTATATTTTGAGTTGAAGAAGAATTAGTAACTGAGCCTCCATCTTCTGGTGATTTTTGTTTTTGTCTATCTTTTTGTCTTTTATTTCTCTTTCTTTTATCTCTTTTTTTTCTCTTTTCACGGCCATCTTTAGATTTCTGTCTTTTCTCTTTTTTACCGTCTCTTCTTAAAATCATATCAACAATTGGCCAACTTTCTTGGTTATCATTTTCTTTTAAAAAAACAAATATAGAATTAATATTAATTATTAAAGACAATAAACCCTATCTATATTAACATATTTACTCTTAATGTCAAAGTTTTGAACAGAATCGGTTGGTAGCTCTAATTGTTTTAGGAATGATTGGAATGTTTTTGATGATTCTAAAGTTCCCATAGAGGTATTTCTTTTTGTTTGTTCAGCATTTAAAAAGAATGGTACATTTTCGACAGAGCACTGTTCATCGAGACCTTTATTATTGACAAATGACTTACCATCCATAAAATCTAAAAATGCATCACTACTCTTTGACCCAACCTTATTAAAAATTTTAACATAACATCTTGTTGGAGTAATATCTTTTGAACCTCTGATTATAATGATAATAAAAAGTTAGTTTATTTATATTTAACCCCCCTTTGAAATAATGTGAAATGATTATTACTTTTTACCTTGGATATATTCGATGATCTTAATTGTTTCTTCTGAAAATGCAGTGGAAATTGATAACGAAAATTTTTCTTTTTCTAAATTGTATGGTAGATTTCTGATTACATAAACTACCTCTCTTTTATCCATAATAGAAAATATATATAATTATCTCATATATATTTATATAAAGAATTATAAATTAAATTTTAATAAAAAACAAAAAATAAAAAAATTAAAAAAAAAAAATTTTAAAAAAAATTTTAAAAAAATAAAAATTTTTAAAAAAAAAATAATATAAAATTTTTTTATCTCTATTTATATAAATATTTCAATGATTTAAAATTTAAATTTAAGTTTATATAAAGTAATAAATTAAACAAATTATATGAAATAATTATATAAATTTTTTTTTTTTTTTTTTTTTTTGATAAGTGTCAATTTATTAATAAATTAAAAAAGATATTTATATATCCTATTTGGATAAATCAAAAAAAAAATAAAAAAAATATAAAAAATAAAATAAATTAAATTTCTTTTTTTTTACACACTTTTTTTTTTTTTCAATTAAAACCTTAATTTTTTTTTTTATTTTTTTTTTTAATAAACTTAAACCCCTTGTTATAATTTTATATATAAAATTTAATAGATAAATAATTATTTATATAAATAGTAAAAAAATATATAAAAATGAAAGATATAAAAAAAATATTATTTTCATTTATTATATTTTTTATTATTTTTGGTGTAATCTCATCCAAAACAACAATAAAAAATTCAAATAAAAAACAGGAACCAAAATTAAGCTCCACTTTGCTTAATGTTCACATAGTACCACATACTCATGATGTAAGTTCCATTTAATTAAGCAATACTATATATTATTTAAATAAAACTAATATTGAATATTTTTTATTTCAACCTCTAATTAGGATGTAGGATGGCTAAAAACTGTTGATGAATACTATTCTGGCACAAATATGTCAATTTCATTTACAGGTGTACAATATGTATTAGACAATGCCGTCTCTTGTTTATTGCAAAACCCCGAAAGAAAATTTATTTATGTTGAAATTGCATTTTTCCAAAGATGGTGGAATGAACAAACTCCAACTATGCAGAATCTTGTAAAAGGATTAGTTGAATCTGGTCAATTGGAATTCATTAATGGTGGCTACTGTATGAATGATGAAGCAACTACCTACTATGATGATATTATTGATCAAATGACTGTTGGTCATCAATTCCTCTGGGAAAACTTTGGTGTTATGCCAAAGATTGGTTGGCATATTGACCCATTTGGACATAGTTCAACTCAAGCTGCAATTTTTGGTGCTATGGGCTTTGATGCTTTTATTGTTGGCCGTATTGACTATCAAGATATTGGCATTAGATTACAAGATAAACAAATGGAGTTTATGTGGCGTAGTTCAAAGAGTAACCCAGATGATCAAATCTTTACCTCTGTTTTAAGAGCAATGTATTGTACCCCAAATGGCTTTGATTTCGAAAATGGTGATGATCCAATTCAAGATGACCCAAATCTTTTTGGTTATAATGTTGAGCAAAGAGCATCTGCTTTCGTAGAAATTGCCAACGAGTATGCAACCCATTTCCGTTCAAATAATGTTTTAATTCCATTTGGTTGTGATTTCCAATATTTAAATGCTAATATGTACTTCAAGAATATTGATAAATTAATAGAACATATCAATGCAAGCCCAGAAAAATATGGTTTAAATCTTATTTACAGTACTCCATCTATTTATATCGATGCTGTCAACAAAGCTGGTTTAACATGGAACGTTAAGACTGATGACTTTTTCCCATATGCTGATGATGCCTTTAGCTATTGGACTGGTTATTTTGTAAGTAGACCAGCTCTCAAAGGTTATGTACGTCAAAACAATGCTCTTTTACATATGGTCGAACAAATGTTGGTTACTAGTAGCAGCTTTTTAACACAAACCCAATCATCTCAATTAATTCAAGACATCATGGTTATGCGTCAAGCAATGGGTGTTGCTCAACATCATGATGCTGTTTCTGGTACCGAAAAGCAAGAGGTTGCTGATGACTATGCTGAACGTTTATCAATAGGTAATGCTGCCTCTCTCGAGACAATCAACACTGTAATTGGTAAACTTTTAACATCTTCATCAAAATCAAAGAATGCTGCCACTCCAAACCTTTCATTCTGCCCATTATTAAATCAAAGTATATGCCCAGCTACCAATCCTCTTTCAGAAGGCTCCAATGTACCAGTTATTTTCTACAACAGTCTCAGTTGGACACGTTATGAACACGTTAGAGTCCCAATCCCAGTTTCAAATGTCTCTGTATCATCAACTGATGGTCCAATCCCAAGTCAAGTAATTAATTACAATTCCAGCTATATTTTAGAATTCTATGCTCTTGTTTCACCATTAGGCTATTCAACATATGTCATATCTCCAGTTAAAGGTGAAGAAAATGAAAGACCAGCCGAACAAGTTTATGAAACTATAGTCACAAAAGAAAATACAGCAAATCCAATTGTATTTGAAAACAAATATATTTCTGCTCAATTTAATCCAAATGATGGATCATTAATCAGCATTACCAATGTCACCTCAGGTGCCACCCTTAATATTCAACAAGAATATGTTTGGTATCAATCTAGTGATGGCAATTATGATTCCACCCAATGCAGTGGTGCCTATATCTTTAGACCAAATGAAGACTATGCTTTTAAATATAATAACATCACCCCAATTGTAACAGTTGCCCAAGGCCCAATTTCATCTAGCATTAGAATCTTCTGGTCAGATATTATGGTCCAAACCTTTAGATTATACACTGAATCAGAACACTTGGAGGTTGAGGAAATTATAGGTCCAATTGATATATCAGATAATCTAGGTAAAGAAGTGGTCTCTCGTTATACAACTGATCTTTCCACTGATAATACTTGGTATTCTGATTCCAATGGCATGGAAATGCAAAAACGTATAACAAACTATCGTCCATCATGGAACTATACTGTTGTTCAACCAACATCTGGTAACTATGTTCCTGTCAATGCTATCACATATATTCAAGATACATCAAAGAATCTTCAATTCACAGTACTCACAGATCGTAGTCGTAGCTCTGCATCATTAAGATCAGGTCAATTAGATGTAATGATGCATCGTCGTACTCTAATGGATGATGGTCGTGGTGTAGGACAACCAATGAATGAATCTACTCAAATTATTACCACAAGCAAACTTATTTTCCACGATATTTCTGAAGTTGCACAATCACATTACCGTCCAACTGCATTAGGATTAGCTCATCCATTATATCCAATGTTTACAAGCACCCAACAATCAAGCAGCCAATGGAATAATCAATACACTGGCATCTACTCACCAGTAGATGACCAACAAGTTCCAACTGGTATTAAAATTCAAACACTCCAATGGTTAGACGACCAAGCCAACTCTGTCCTCTTACGTATTGAAAATATTTACCAAATTGATGATCAAGATAAAGACGATCCAAAGACCATTTCAGTTGATATCTCTTCAATCTTTACAAACCTTTCAATTGCATCTATAACTGAAATGAATTTAACTGGTGTTCAAAAAATTACAAATATTAATCGTTTAAATTGGAATACTGTTGATAATTTCAAACCATCTCCAAAATCATCAAGTCCAAATAGTAATGTATATAGTGTTTCACCAATGCAAATAAGAACTTTTGTAATTACTTTTAATTAAAAAATTAGTTTAGAAAAAAAAAAAATAATAATTATAAATATTGTTGTTGTTGTTAAAATAAAACATAAATAAAAAAATAATTTTGTAAATTTAAATGTTTTTAAATCTTTTCTTTATAATATTAATAAATAATTTATTTCTTTTTCTTTAATGTTGCATTTACTTTTTCGTGTATTTCTTTTGATATTAATTTTTTCTCTTTTTTTTGTTGGAAATTTGTTTTTTTGCATTTTTTTCTTTGTTGTTTTAAATCTACTACTTCTCCTTTTAATTTTCTTTTTAATAAAAACCTAAAATATAATAGATAATATAGATTAAAACAACCACATAGATAATATATTAGTAAAATTTAATTTTTAATTTTAAATAGTTATTTGTTGTGGTCAGTTAATTACTTTTCTCTGTGTGTTAATTTTTTTCCTTCTGTTTTTTCATCATTATCCATTTTATCATCACCATCTTCATCAGTTTCCATACCTTCATCATCCTCGTCGTCTTTATTTTCAATGTTATATTTTTCTATTGGTTCTAATTCGTCTTTTTTTATTTCCGACATATTAGCTAATTTTATCATTTCTAATGCTGGATTATTTTCACCTAATTCTGGGTGATTTTTTAATGAATATATATTGTTTGTATTTGTATTTGTATCTGATTTGTTATTCAAATTAACTTTTAATTTATTTTTGCCCATTTTATATTTATATATATGTTTTATGTTTTATTAAAAAACAAATAAGTATTTTTCGTTTTTTTTTTTTAATTTTAATTTTTTTTTAAAAATTTTTTTTTTGAATTTTTTGAATTTTTTTATTATTTTTATTTTATTTTTAATTTATTTTTGTAAAAATGAAAATGTAAATACAATGGGATCTTTAATATTAAGTGTATAAACATCAAATTAACTAATCAAAATATCTATTTTTAGCATTAAAAAAGATAAAGAGGAACTTATAACAAATTTCGAAGTACTTTCATTATTAAAACATAAAAGAAGAATAGAAGGTCAGGTACTTTTAAATGAATTTGTAAATAATACAGTAAGATATTTAGAAACTACACCTGCAAGTAAAGAAAGTGTTGAAAGTGTTAAAAAATGTAGATTAGAAATAAATAAATTGGCAACTCAAAATGGTTCTAAAATTATGAAGGCAGAGCTATTACAAATTTTAAATATTGCACCATCGGGTGAAGTAGAAGTGCATCTTGTAAGTGGTCATACATACATTTAGAAAACTATTAAATAGTAATCATAAAAATATTAACATTACTTTTAAAACTCTAATTTAGATTGTTGAAGATTGCGAAGATAGATTAAACCCAAAAGAGCTTTTAAGAGTCGTCAAAGATAGTTTGGGCGATGCTGTAGTAAGAGAGCTTTAGATTTAAAACCTTCTCATCCTTGTAAATAGTTAAATAAAAATAAAATAAAATAAAATAAAATAAAATAAAATAAAATAAAAAAAATAAAAAAAAATAAAAAAGAAAAATTATAAATTCAATTTTGTATATATTAATAGTTTTCCATATATCAACAGTTATCCAATTTTTTTAAGATAAAATCATATCTTTTTTTATTTTTCCTTTTTTTTTTATTTTTCAATTTTTTTTTTCCAATTAATTTTCAATTTTTTTTTTTTATTATTTTTGATAGATATTTTGGTATAGATAATACTGTAGTTGATGGACACTAATTATAACTCTTTAAATTTAAATAATAACATAAATAATAATTATATAGATTCAATAGCCAACAACAATGAAGAAATAAAAAAATATTGTAGTTTTAAATTAATCAGAAAAAGAACAAAGTTTAGGTTATTCGCCGGATATAAAGCATATTTCCCGAATGTTTTAAAAGGCTCTATATCATTAGTAGAGTTTAACGAATTCATTAAACAATTAAATATGGCTTGTAGATCTAAATTTGGGAATAAAAAATTAATAGCCTATACCTCTTTTTTTCTTTTAATTTGCTCATTGTTTTTTATTCCTTTTTTAATTATAAATCCCCAAAAATTTTATTTATTTATAATATCATTTGTATATATAGTTTTTTTTAGTTTTGTTTTATATTATACTTTTAAATCAATCATCTCAATGGTATGGAGTTAAATATTTATTAAATTATTTTTATTTGATTTACTAATATATATTTTTTTATTTTTAGATGGAAAAAGAACTTAAATGTGTAATAGAAAGATATAATAATGAAGTTTTCAATAATAGAAATCTAAGAATTGATTTTATTAAAAGATATAATAAAAGAAAAACAGCAATTTTTAAAATTTATATAATTTTCCCAATTCCTCAAGAAAAATTTTTTGTTCAAAATAAAAATAATTTAAACGGGGATAATATAAATAATGATGGTAATAATTACACAACTATTACAATAGATGATAGCAATAGCGAGTCATCATCACTTTTACTAAAAAACTAAAAATAAAATAATATTGTTACTATTACTAATTATAAATAGTGTTGGTGGTAATTCTTTTTTTTTTTAAAAAATTTTATTTTTATTGTTTTTTAATAATTATTATATACTTTTAAATATATTTTATTTAATTATTGGAATTTAGAAATTTTTGAAGGTTGGTTGTTAGATTGTGTTTCTTTTCTTTTCTTATCACTGGTATCAGATGACTTTTTAATTAAGAATGGGTTTTTTTTTACAGATTTGGTTGTATTTTTAAAAGTTTTTGTGGATTTTGGTGATTGCTCAATTGGTTTTTCTTCTTCTTCTTCTTCTTCTTCAGGTTCGCTATCTGATTGTTGCTTTGGTGCTTTTTTTGGAGGTGAATCAACAACAACAGTTTGATTCTGGCTAGATGTGGTGGTTTTGGGTGATATTGTTGTAGTTGGTGTATTGTTGACATTAATTGGTTTAAAGTTTTCAATTAATTCTACAATTTTTTTTGTTAACCATGGTAAACGAAGTCCATTTGAATAGGTAAAGGCGATTTGAAGTGATTTCTTCATATTTAAATTTTTACATAAATCGATTGCTTTTTGATATTTGCCGAGTTTGGTATAGTAGTTAAATAATCTAAGGGTAGCAGTATCCAAGTCAGTAAGATGTTTGGTAAGCACAGAATCTTCTAATGGTCCCATTGAATTAATACAACTTGAATTTAAATTATTTTGTGTTTGATTAACAAGGTTTGATAAGTTATATTTGTTCTTTAAAAATTCTCTTTCATTACTTAAAATTGGAGAATCAACACTTGATAGCAATGGAGCTTCAATTTTTACATAGTTATGGGTGCATTTTGGAGTTTGTGGGTAACCAGTACAAAAGATTGAATAGAGGTCAGTTGTATTTAAACCAATGATCCAATAGGTATAAAGATCTAATGAATGTGGCTTTTGACATTTTCTAAGGTCCATAATTAAAGTCCATTGAAGGAATGATGTTGATGATTGATTGTTATACCAGCCATTTGAAAGTTGTCTAACAACACCAATTGAATCCATTGTAGTTAATAAACCATTATCTGAGAAACCAATCCATGATAAAGATGAGCTTGGGGAGATTGAAAGGCTATCGTGATAAATTTGTTTACCATTTGCTAAGTTAATCCACCAAACGTTCATTGATTGATTATCATTTAATGCATTTGAACGATGATAAACAATTGCTAAAGTATCATCAAAAGTATTCATGGTTACTAAATCTCCTGGAAGAGTAAAAAGGTTCATTTGAATTCCACCCAAACTAAACAAACGTAAAGTTCTATTGCTTGAAACTGATACAATAAAATTCTTTGAAATTGAAACACCTGAAACTTCTTCAGTATCGGTTAAACTCCATTCAGTACCAGTGGTGTCGCCTAGAGTATCAAATGGTTTGAACATAATAACAGATTCCAATGGTTTGATTTGGGAACCAATATCTTTTTCATCACTGTTCTTTTGTTTTTCAATTAGTTCTTGTTGTTGTTGTTCATATTCTTCTTTTTCGTTTTGTAAATATTTTGTGGCAAAGACAGCACCATTTGGACCAAGTGATGATAATCTTAAATTATGATTGATATCGCTGAATGTGATTTTCTTGTTGTACCCAGTTTCATGGAATTCGATTTCAATTGATGAAGGTTCGTTGCTTGATGGGCTTTCTTCTCTTTTAACAATTTTACCCAACATACTATAGGCCATATAGTATCTCTTGGTCTTTAAGTTTAAGGTTTTTGGATTGTTTAAAACATTTAATAAAGTTGAACCGATTTGGAATGATTCTTGTTGACAATTTTCATAAACTTGTTGGCTGTAAACTGAAGCATTATCTTCATTACCATTATTTTCATCTTCATCGAGATTACTATTATTATCTTCATTTTCGTTCATTTCTTTATCGGAATCTTCATTTGAAACTGATTTTGATTTTTGATTTTCGTTATTATTATTGTTTTGATTATTATTAAAGACTTCATTTTCGTCAATGTCGATTTCAAAATCATCAATATCGTCTTCAATTATTTTTTCTTGAGAACTTGTTAAATTTTCAGAGTGCAAAAGTTCTGTGTATGTTTTTAAATTTTCTTTATCAAACTGTGGAATAAAATAAAAATATTAATAATTTTTTCCTTTTAATAAATATTTAAAATAACTTACAAATGAAATGCAATTTGAAGATGGTTGTGATCTCCATGAAAAAGAATTGATTGGGGATTTGTGTTTATAGGAGTGGACAGGTTCTTCAGGGTTTGATTCATCAAAGTCACCGTTCCAAATAAATAGGTTACTATCTAAACCAATTGAGGCCAAGTATTTACCTTCATTATCCCATGCTACAGAGGTTGCTTCTTTAGTGTGACCTTCAGAGCCGAAAGAACGAGTTTTATAATCATTAGACATTTCTGTTTCATCGAAAATATATGATATAATTGAGCCAGAAAGGGTTGGGATGGTTAGCTCTCTTTGATCGCTTTGTCTCCATGAAATACCTATTTTTTTTAATGATTCTGGACTAGATTCAATATCTATAGTATGAATTGGTGTTGGATTATCATGCTCAAATGATTCTGTGCTCCAAATCTTTAATTTGTTATCATCTCCAATACTTGCTAAATAATCTCCATCACTGGTGAAAGATAGGCAAACAATATCTCCATTATGTGCATTGTTTATTGTAATTGATTGACTAACATTAACTGAGTGATATTTAATTTGTCCACTTCTGCAAAATAATAATAAAAGAAAAAAAGAATTAATATTTTTTCATTATAAAATAAATTATGTTATTATTTTAATATTTACGATAAACCAATGGCGATGTAAGATTGTGTTGGGTTAAATTGAATATAGGTTGGATTTGAAGATGTCTTTATTTCAGTTCTATCATTTTTTGAAATACAACTAAATATAATTACTTTGTTATCTTCAAAGGAAGCTGTTGCACATTTGTTTTTAGCGCCAATATCAATTGAAGAAATTGCTTTATTATGCGAACCGAGTTCTATTAATTCGAAATCTGTACCATCTGCCGCGTCTCCATAGAATACACTTTTAGAGTTTGGATAACAATATAATATCTTGTTTCTATCTGGATGATATTTTAATAAACCAATACTATTATTATTTTTACTTTCACTATCTACATTATTGATTGGTCTATCTTTATAAGGTAAACTATTTTTTTTTTTGATTGCCATTTTATTATTAAATAAATGAAAATAATAATAAAAGGTTTTATATTTATAAAATATTAAATATTTGTTTAAAAAATAATAACACAAAATAATAAAAAAAAAAAATTTAAATTTAAAAAAAAAAAAAAAAAAATTCTTTGGGCGCCACCCACTAAAAAGTTTTTTTAATGAAAATATTAAAATATTTTTTGGATATTACCTTTATATAACAAGATAATTGATTAATCAATAAAATAAAAAGGTCCATTTTTCAATAAAATATAACAATAAAAATTTTGCAATAAATAATTATATAAAAGATTGAACCAGTTGAAGGTAATCAAGTTAGAGCTAAAAAAAAAGAAAATATATGATAAAAAATGATAAAATATGAAGAAAAAAGTGTGTGATTAGAGGTGTAATATACATAATTATAATAGTAAATAATAATTACCATACTTAAAATTTTTCATGATATTATTTCTTAAGTTTTTTTTACCCATTTTTATTATTATTTCTTAAGTTTTTTTTTTTCTTATTTTTTTTAAGTTTAACTTAAAAAAAAAAAAAAAAAAAAAAAAACTTATAAATAAAAAAATTTTATTTTTGATTAACAAAATAATTATAATTTTAAAATTTTTTTTAATAACAATTAAAAAATGTCAAATATTTTTTTTAACTACAATTTTTTATATATTATCAAAAAAACATTAAACTATATATACAATGGTAGTTTAGTTTCATTGGGTGATAGAAATTTAAAATCAAAACATAATGAAGTCATGAATCTTTGCTTAGTTAATAAATATTGGTTTAAAGCTGTACAGTACGTTTTAAAAAAGTTATTAACCTTTTCAAATAAACCCTTTTTATCCAGTTTTATTTTAAAATATCCCAATAATTTCATTAATAATAACAATAATAATAATAATAATTATTATGGGAAATTAATAGAAAATATTTCAATTTTACCAACAAATATTGAAGACATCAATACCCATTCAAAAAATTACGATATGGTTAGAGTAAAAATCAATTTAAATAAAATTTCAGATAGTCAAAACCAGACCGCTATTAAACAATTGAAATCAAAATTAATTGAATTCCTACCAAATTACGAATTTCATTTAATTATTGGCAATAACTCAACAAACATTGATTTTACAAATGACCATAACAACAATATTAGTCTGCATGTAATGGGACACTCTCAACCATTAGAAGATATAATTAAATTAAAGCCAAGAAAAATATTTTATCAACCAAATGACCACATAAATCATTTTAGTCAGATTGTCCACATAAATTGCAAAAGTTTTTTCAAGTTAGATTCTTTAGAAGATCTCAGGATTTCTGATAAAGACTGGGTCAATCCTTATGATATTTCAAAAATCAATAACGAAACAACAAAGTTAAAAGTGGTTTCAGTTAACTTATTATTTCACACAATTATCAAGGGATTATGGAGAGTCAAAGAAAACAATGAGATTTCAACAAAATTCTTTTCAAATGCATGCTGCAGTGACTATAACAGTTTAGGATTGGGTTTAGAAGTTAAAAATTCAATTTTAGAAGATTGGGCTAAAATGGTGGAAACCTTGAAAAATAACTCCACTATCAAGGAATTAAAGCTTTACAATTTCAAATGTATATATAACTGTATTGAAAAAATAGATACATCAATTGTAACATTAGATCTAGAGGAAATATTCAAAAGTCCAGTATCCAAAATTGAAACCTTAACATTAAAAAATTTTGATTTCTTAGACGCTTCTATACTCACCGGAATAGCCAAAAGTAAATCAATAAAGAACTTGACAATTGATTTACTTGAGGTTGTTAAATGTCCTGAAGTATGTGAGAAAAAAGCTTCCTTAATATTTGAACACTTACTTCTTCAAGAAACCAAAAATTTAAAAAACATTAAAATTTTAATTAAGGGTGTCCCAATTGGTATATATAAAAAATTATTTGGAAATTTTCCTAAAATCTCATTACATTCTATTACCCTTTATCTAGAATATTTTAATATAATTCATATTGACCTATTTCTAAAATCATTACCATCAAATACCAACATTAATGAATTTATTTTTTATAACGAGAGCAATTTTAAAATACATTTTCATAATCCAACATATCAATCAATCACACAATAAATAAATTAAAAAAATAGACTATTTCAAAATTTTAAATAATAAAAGAAAAAATAAAAATAAAAATAAAAATAAAAATAAAAATAAAAATAAAAATAAAAATAAAAATAAAAATAAAAATAAATATTAAAAATTAAAAAATAAAATATAAAATATAAAATATAAAATATTAAATATAAATAAACAATAAAACTTTACATATTAATACTATTTTATAATTTATTTATATCTTTTTTTAATTTTTAATCAATTTTAAATTTATATTTTAGCTTTATCATCTGATTGGTTATATAATTATAATGAGAACCTAACTCTATTAAATTTAGGTGGAAAGTATCCTAGCTCAATCTTTATTTTACAACTATTAACGAAGATAGGTAAAATTGATAGGTCAGATGGCCAATAAGTATAAGATTGAAATAAATATAGTTCAATACATCATAACTGATTTGTGTAATTTTATTTAGTTTCAAATATAATAAATAATAAAAGTCATTTTTTAGAGAATTTAATGAAATTTTCAAATCTGATTATATTTTTTAATTAAAATACTCAATTTTAAATAAAAACAAATATTAATTAAATTCTCAAAAAAAAAAAATATATTTTTTTTTAAAAAAAATTATAAAATAGTTATTATAAAAAACTCACACTTTTTTTTTAAACATTTCTATTTTTTTGATTTTATTATATTTATTATATCACACTTTTTAAAAATAATAAAAATGCTTAGTTTAATTGCTATTTTCTTTATTGCTGTCACCATTTGTTTTTTATTATATAATAACATCAAAAAAAATAAAAATAATTTCAATCAAAATCAACAACAACCACAACAACCACAACAATATCAAACATATGGAGATTTTAACTATCATCAGCAACCAAGAAATCCATATCAATCTTCACCACAACAATATCAACAACATTACCAACCAAATGGACATTTCAACTATTACCAGCAACCAAATAATCAATATCATTCTTCACCACAACAATCACAACCACCAATGAACCCATTCCATAGCCAATATCAATATCCACCAATGCAAACACAGCCACCAATGAATCCATACCATAGTATTAATAGAATTTCAAAGAGATCATTGGGGGTTTTTGATATGGAGCCCAATAAAAAATTAAAATTTGATATAAAAGGAAAATCAAATAAATCATATGGAGTTTCAAAGAGATCATTGGCAGGTGAAAAAGATGAATTTTCCAAAAAGAAATTTAAATATGAAAAAATAATAAATAAATTTAATAAATTTTCAAAAAGATCATTGGAAGTTAATGAAAACAATGTACAGTCCAATAAGAAATTCAAAGAAGATTTATTAAATAATGGAAATTCAAAAAGATCATTGGAAGCTAATAATTATTATGAAATGTTTGCAAAGTCCAATAAAAAATTTAAAATTTGGTGATTAAAATATTAAATAAATTTGATACAGAAAAAGAATGTTGTGAAAAATTAGAAAAACTTTAAAAAAGAAAAGGAAATATAGTGTTTTATTAGTTATTCTAAATAGATACCCATGGAAATTATATGAACCCAAATAGATTTCAAAATGAAAATAAAGGTAACTATTATCATTATTTTTAAAAATTTATTTATATTTTTAAATTAAAAAAAGAAACTAATATTTTATTTAATATTTATATCATAAAAAATTAAAATTTAAAGATTAAAAAAAAATAGTTATTATAATTTATAAAATAGTTATAAATATATTTATTAAAGTTAAAGATGCCCTATTATATAAGATTCAAATTCCATTAATCCTGGTGGTCATTGGGCAGCTGGTTCTAGTTTTGCAGTATGTACGCCACTTGGTGTAGGTTCCTTTCAAATTAGTTTTATAAAATACCTGTTTATCTCTTTTAGTAGATGGTGATACAGTTTGGTCTCCATATATCTTTCAATTTACCCAAGATGATGAGTTTCTTTTTATTCTCCCAAAATGGTTCTCCACCTGTATGGCTTTAAAATACTTATTCATTAGAAGGTATGTTAAAAATATAATTAGTCATATTGCAATAAAATAATATACTCACCACTTTAAATAATTCATTAGAAGGTTCAAAAGTATATATTGGTATTATTGGGTAAGGTTATTCAAAATAGTGCAAGTTCAATGGTATTGGGTAGATTTGGCCAATCGTTTCTAATACCAGTGTTATGTCACTCAATCCCGGTAATTTTATCAATAGATTGGATCCTACAAATATTCTTAACAATTATATTACAAAAGGTCGTGACTATTTATCAATCAACTCTATAGAAATAGAAGCTATGATATAATTTAAAAAAAAAAAAAAAAACTGTCTATTGATTTTCTATTATAATAAACTATATATATATATGTTTAAAGTAAAAAAAACCTAATCAAAACCAATAAATTCACCTAATTTTTTTTAACTTATTTCAAAATTTATTAAAAAAAAAAAAAACTTCTAATCTTTATTACTATTTACATTTAAATTTTATATTGAAAGTGATCCTAAGGTGTCAACAATTTCGTTATTAACATTATTGTTTTGATTAATATTTGTATTGCTATGGTTATTATTATTTTGATTATTTTGATTATTTTGTTGTTGTTTTTGTTGCTTTCTTTGTTTATTACTTAAATGACTAAAAAGAAAAATATATTAATAAAAGTCTAATAGATTTATATAGTGAAAAAAAATAACCTACACATTATCGTTTTCATTTTCATCTAAAACTTCCTCTTTCTTTTTTTGTTCCATTTTCTTTACACCTTTATAGGGATTTTTTGATACTTTATTGTTTTTACCAGTTGCTGTTGTGGTGGTTGTGGTGGTTGTGGTTGTGGTGGTTGTGGTGGTTGTGGTGGTGTTTTCATCACTTTTGTTTTCACTTTCGTTATTATTGCCTTCAGGGGTTTTAAAAATAAATAAATATTCAATTGCTGCTTCGATATCATTTTGACAATCTTTTAAAGCATCTTTAATTAGTTTAAGATCTGTTACACCAGTTACATCTATAATTTGCGAAATTGAATCCTCTGTGTCATAATCGTTTTCTTCATAATAGTTATAGTTGTAATTGTTGCTGTTGTTTTTATTTTTATTATTTTTGTTTTTGTTATTATTGTTTGGATTAAAATCAAAGTTTGGTATAGGTGAGTTTGTACTATTGGTTGTTGCAGTTGTTGCTCTATTGTTAATTGATTTTACACTGTTATAATGTTCATCATTATGATAGGATAGATTTATCATTTTATTTTTTTCAACTGGAAAATGATTTATAACTTCCCATCTTGGTTGATCCATTTGATGAATTGTTATGTTGATTTCATATGCTAATGAACAAGCTTGAATTTCGATATGGCCACCCCATGTGGCATCTTCTCTCATTTCTTCGACATATTCTTCAAATGATGCAAATTCATCGGTATCTACAAAAGGTATAAAAATATCTTTGTTCATTTCGATATATTTACATATATTATCTCTGTACTTTCTGTGTTGATTTGGTGATTCCTCTAATTGATCTGCAATTGAACGAAACAAACAATTACCATCACCTGCTACATCTTTAATATATAAACCTAATGGATTTAGTTGCTCTTCAAATTTCTGTATACCTTTCTTCCATGTTTCACCACCATGCTTTAATCTTTCTCTTCTTCTTCTAAGTGATGCTTTTACTTCTCTATCCACTCTTTTATTGCTTGCATTATTATTTGAATTATTATTTTTTTTTCCTTTTCCCCCCATTTCTTTAGATTTATATTATGAATAAAAAATGAAACAAATTAAAGGATAAATAAATATAAAAAAAAAAAAAAAAATTTTAAAAATATAAAAATAATTTATTTTTTTAAAAAAATTTTAAGAAATAAATTGTTTTTTTTTTTTTGGTAATATTACCAAAAAAAAATAATAAAAGTTTAAAAAAAAAAGAAATATCCACAAATGATATTCTCTTTTATGGACTGATTTATAATTTATTGATCAATCACTATATTATTATTATTATTCATACAAGAAATTTATTTATTTGGATTTCTGATTGCGTTTTTTTTAGTTGAGGGTAATTGGTCAACTTTATTTGTTAATTTGTGATATTCAGCTTTTAGAGTTATGATTAATTCATCCAAGTATTTTATTCTATTGTTTTGATAATCACTGACTGCTTTTAATACTGATGGTTCGTTTGATGAGGGGTCATCGTTTGACTTTGGTGTAATTAATTGTCTTTCTTCTAATAAACGATCCAAAGTTTCAACAATTTTTTCGACTTCTTTATTAAAAATACCCTGTTTTTCTAATCTTCTTTTTAAACCCAAATAGTAGTCACTAATTGGGTGTGTTGGTGGCTTTAAATCTGCAAAAAATGGAAACAAGTAATAAAATGTGTGACTGTGTGATACTAAACCATTTTGTGTTAAATTTTTAAATTGGGGGATATTGATTTGTTTTATAAATTCTTGTAGTCTTTCAAACTCCTCGTTACCATTATTTGTTTCATTGGCAGTTGATAATGCTGACCAGCTCCAACTGTATCCATCTTGGTCGCTTGTTTTGATACATAAATCATTAATAAATGATTTGTATTTTTTATTGTAAAACTTGTGAGTATTTTCATGAATATCTGCAAATGTTAGGGATGGCAATGATTTACTGTCTCTATAGTATGAATGGATAAATTGGCTGAATGTCTCTATTACTGGTTTGATATTCCATACGCCTGTATCCCAATAATGAGCCTCAATTTCATTAATAGATTCTGTGATTGAGTCATGAACAAAGAATATGGGTACCATAGTTGGAATTAAATCTAAAAATATTTTATTATCTGTCATTGACAAACCGTTACCGGATTTAACATCTTTTTCTTCATCTTCATCATCTTCCTCTTCATCTTCGTCATCTTCCTCATCTACCATTTGGTCATCTTTTGAGGGACCTTCGTTTGAAACTAAGAGTTTATTCTTTGCACTATCTTTCATTTCTTCATCGTCAGAGGACGATGAGGACGATGATGAATTTTCGGATTTTAAAATAATGTTTTCGGTATTGCAAGTTTTATTTGTAACAGAGTTATTATTGTTGTTGAATAAAATAATTTCATCATGTCCATCTTCCTCCTCGACCAATACATCAACTTCATTCTCTTCTTCTTCGTCGTCATCTTCATCATCTTCGTCTTCACCTTTTCCCAGATCGTCAAGTTCAATAACTTCATCATTATCCAAGCCAGAACATTCAATTGATGTATCCATTTTATCATTGTCAACTGTAATATCACTTCCACCCAATTCGTTGTATACTGACTGAGTATGATATGCCCAAATAAAACGATACCATAGTTCTAAAATTAAAAATCCAAACCAAACTTTAAAATGACTTGATGGTTTTGATGTTGACGGTTTGATAAACATTTTATTGGTTGCTTTGACCCACCATAGCTCTTTTTGTAATTTTAAAAATTTATTATTATCTATTAACAATGTTGATGAATTTAGCGAGTTCTTTAAATTGATGCTATACAAATCTGAAACTATAATTAATTTTGATTTATTTACTTCTAATAATTCTTTATTGTTTAAAACATTAACCAGTTCTTTAATATCAACACCATCTGAAAAAAAAAAATATCAATATAAGAACATTTGATTTTGTGAATATATGTTTACTCTAATAATATAATACTTACTTTTTTCTAATTGTGATAAATGTTTTGAAGTAAAATTAAACTCCTCGGTACTATTTAAAGATTCAGAGAATAACCACTCTTTAAGATCCAAATAAAAGAGAGAGTATACATTTTGGTGGCATTGATATTAAGAATGAAAATGGTTCTAAAATATTTAATGATTTGGATACTTTTAATTTCTTTTTCTTTTTTGGTGATATTGATGTTTTGTTGACCAAACTATCCTCTTTATTATAACTAATGCTTTGGTTTTCATCATCTGCATCATCGTAGCTGCTATTGGTTGTATTTGACTCTGTAGTTGAAGGCACTTTCTCTGAAATTGGTTTTTTAGTGACAGTTCTCTCTTTTCTTTTTCTTTTTTCTTTAGTACCTTTATTATGTTTGTTATCTTTATTATTTTTATTAGTTTTATTAACCTTATCTTTATTACCATTACTTTGTAATACTGGTGTGGCATTATTATCAGTATTTAAATTATTATTATTGTTATTATTGTTATTATTGTTATTATTATTATTATTATTATTATTATTATTATTATTATTATTATTATTATTATTATTATTTGCAGAGGTTGAAACCAGACTATTATTTTTTGAAAAGAATGCATTAAACATTGATGAAATTGGCGATGATAAATCATAATTAAAGTTAAATGGATTAACAACGGTTGGTGATTGTTCTGATACTACTGGTGAGATTAATTTAGGTTGAATTCTTTTTTTTTTTGGTTGCTCTTTATTATCATTTTTTTCACCACATTCAGTTATTTCTATGCTTTTATTATTTATATTATTACTATCATCCTTTATATTTAATTTTTGAAAACTATTATCTATACTATTTACATAGGGCTCTGTAATATTATCACCCATTTTGTTTATAAAACTATATTTATATGAAACTAATATGAAAAAAAAAAATAAAAAATATTATATTAAAAAAAAAAAATTTTAAAAAATAAAAATTTTTTTATATTTTTTTGATTTTTTCAATTAAAATAAAAGATTCCAGGAAGCTCTTATAAAAAAAGAAATAAAATAATCATAAAAAATTATTACATATTCATTTAAAAAAAGATATTATTTGATTAATAAAAAATAATAATAATAATAAAAAAAAAAAAAAAAAAAAAAAAAAAAAAAATTATTTTAACTAATAATAATTATTTTATTTTTTAGTTCAACCATAAAGTTATTGTATTTAAAGGAGGGGGGTTTTACTATTTATTTTATAATTGAAAAAAAAAAAAAATAAATAAAAATATTTTGTTTATATAAATTAAAATACCGCCCATTTATTTTTTTTTTTTTTTAATTTTTTTTTTTTTTAATTTTTTTTTAAATTTTAAATTTTAAAAAATATTTTTTCTTTCTATAAACACAAAAATATACATTGATTTTTAATTAAATCTCTGTAAGAATTTTGTATAAATAAATAATTAATAAAAAAAAAAAAAGATTTCCTAATAACAACAATAAAAATCCAAGAAGTAATAATTTTTTTTTATTTATATTTGTTTAATAATTTGTATATAATTTTTTATATAAAGAAATAATAATAAAATGTCACAGAAAAAAACAACTTCAAAAACTACATCAAAAAACAATAATAATAGCAGCAATAACAACAATAATAACAATAATAATAATAATAATAACGATGACGAAAATATTTTAAGTTTTTTAAATTCAATTAAAAACGACGAAAAAAAAAAATCAAGCAAGTCAAACAATCAACTAAATAATAATAATAATGATAATAAAATCGATGACGATAATGAGGATGATAATATAGATTTTTTCAATAATGAAAAGAAATATTTAAAAGTTGAAGAACCGGTACAAAGTGATGTAGAAAGCGATATTGAAGAGGAACTTGGTGTTTATGAAGAAGATGAAGACAACGTTTCATCCGAAGGTGAAGGTGATGATTTATTGGATGAAGAATTACAAGAAAAGGATGAGGAAGAAGCATTTGAAGCAGAAGATAATTATTATGAAAAAGAAGGTTTAGACGATAAACAATACGAAAATATCGACAATAACAAAAAAAGAGAAGTAGATTCAATTTTAAGGAAACGTGATTTTCAAGAAATGAAATCAAAAAATTTAACCAAACGTTATCAATATAGAATTTCATCGTTTATTAATGATGATGAAAATGAAATGGTAGATGAAGACAATGAAGAGCATTTAAATGGTAATATATAGTATATATTTAAACCTTATATAATTCCTAATAAATTACTAACAATTAAATCATTATTATTTTAGAAAAAAGAAAGAAACTATTAAAAAAAAGAAGAGAAACTATTAATAAACAAAATGAAAATATTAAAAAAGATTATGATTCATCAGTACCAACATTTTCAATGAATGTTAACGAATTTGAAGATAATGAATATGAAGAAGAAATAGAAGATGAAGATGCACCATTTGTAAATTTAGAAAATCCAGATAAAGATATTAACCTTAGAGAATATGTATGTTTAACAGCCCCAAGAAGAGAAATTAGTAAAAGGTTTGCACAATTCTTGTTAACATTCAAAGAAAAAGATAGCAAAACATTTTATTATCAAGAAGCAATTCAAAAGATGTGTGCATCCAATAAAGAGACTTTGTTAGTTAATTTTACGCATTTGACCGCCGCCACACCATTTGGTTTATGGGTTGCCGAAATTCCATCGGAGATGATTGAAATTTTTGACGAAACTGCGATGAAGGTCGTACTATCATTCTACAAAAACTATAGAAATATCGTCAAATCAATTCATGTTCGTATTACTCATCTACCACTCTGTGAATCACTTCGTGATATTCGTCAAACAAGTTTAAACAAATTAACAAAAGTTGGTGGCGTTATTACCCGTCGTTCAAATGTTTATCCACAATTAAAATATGTCAAGTATGATTGTATAAAATGTCGAACTACATTGGGTCCATTCAGTTTAGACGGTGTATCAAATGACTCTAAACCTCCAATTGGTATTTGTCCACAATGTCAAAGTAAAGGTCCGTTCATTATCAATTCAGAGCAAACTGTTTATCGTGATTTCCAAAAAGTTACACTTCAAGAATCGCCAGGTACTGTGCCACCAGGTCGTCTTCCACGTACCAAGGATATCATTTTAATGGATGATTTAATCGATACAGTTCGTCCAGGTGAGGAGGTTGAAATCACTGGTATTTATAAACACAACTTTGACATTAAGCTTAATCATCAACAAGGTTTCCCTGTATTCTCCACAATTATCGAGGCCAACCATATCAATAAGAAGGAAGATTTGCTCTCATCATTTATTTTAACTGATGAAGATGAACGTGAAATTCGTCGTCTTTCAAAAGAAAGTAATATAGCCGATAAAATTATCCAATCAATTGCCCCATCCATCTATGGTCACGAAGATATCAAAATCGCTTTAGCATTGGCATTATTTGGTGGTAGTCCAAAAGATATCAACAATAAACATAGAATTAGAGGTGATATTAATGTATTATTAATTGGTGATCCAGGTGTAGCCAAAAGTCAATTTTTAAAATATGTCGAAAAGACTGCTCATCGTGCGGTTTACACTACAGGTCAAGGTGCATCAGCAGTAGGTTTAACAGCAGCAGTACGTATGGATCCATTGACACGTGAATGGACATTAGAAGGTGGTGCTTTGGTTTTAGCAGATAGAGGAGTTTGTATGATTGATGAATTCGATAAAATGAATGATCAAGATCGTACCTCAATTCACGAAGCTATGGAACAACAATCAATTTCAATTTCAAAAGCAGGTATTGTTACCACATTAACGGCACGTTGCTCCGTTATTGCTGCTGCCAATCCAAAAAGAGGCAAATATGATGCAGGTTTAAATCTTTTACAAAATGTTGACCTTACAGAACCAATTTTATCTCGTTTCGATATTATATGTGTAGTTAGAGATACCATCGACTCATTCAAAGATCGTGAATTGGCTAGATTTGTTGTTCAAAGTCATGTTAGATCACATCCCAACCAAGTAAATGGTGAGTTTGACTATCTCTCTAAAGCCACCAAACAATCACCCATATCTCAAGAACTCTTAAGAAAATATATTATCTATGCTAAACGTATTCGTCCAAGAATTACAAATATCGATAAAGATAAGATTTCAAGACTCTATACCGAACTTCGTCGTGAATCTAGAAATGGTGGTTTTGCAATGACTGTTCGTCATGTCGAATCTATTATCCGTATGGCTGAAGCCCATGCTAAAATGCACCTAAGAGATTATGTAACCGATGTCGATGTTAACACTAGTATTCGTGTAATGTTAGATAGCTTTATCAATGCTCAAAAACACTCAATGTACAAAAATTTACGTAAAAAATTCGCTCCATATGTCAACTTCCAAAAAGATAACAATATATTTTTAATTCAACTATTACAATCACTTGTCAGAGAACATACAAACTATCACATTACAAGAAGTGGCCAAATACCCGATCAACTTACAATACCATATGACGATTTCGATACCAAAGCTCGTGAGTCTGGTATCACCGAATTAACAAATTTCTTTAGCTCTAATGAATTTACTTCAAGACCAGAGTTTTCTCTTAAAAAAGACAAATCAGTTATTATGTTTACAAGAAATAAAATAAATTCATAAAAAAAATAAAATATAAATTTAAAAATATAAACATATAAAAATTTTGGTTTTATTATAGTTTTTTTTTAAAATATGTAATTTAAAATATTTATTTATTTATTAAAAAAAATAAAAATAAAAGTAAAAATAAAAAAAAAGAATTTATTGCTGTAAAAAAAAAGAAAAGAAAAAAAAAAGATGATAGTTTCTTTTTAATTGGTTGTTGGTTTTAGTTCCATGACTATTATTTAGTATTTGTAGTAGTTGTAGTACCGTCTTGTGGTGGATTTTCTTTATCTTTAAATTCGGATTTTAATTCGTATAAATGATTGTGGGCACCTCTTTTATTTAAAATGCAAACTTTTTCTAAAACTTGTTTAAGGTAACCTTTTGGTTGACCGGTTTCAGCCTCTAAACCTTTAAGATCCCAATATGATTTGTTTCTAAATGCGTCGAAAATAAGATCAATAACCTCATCTTCTGGTAATTTTTCTTTTTTATCTGTAGTTTTTCTTTTCTATAAATTTGTAAAAAATATATAAATATGTTAATATGGCATAATAATAATAATAATAATAATAATAATAATAATAATAATAATAATAATAATAATAATAATTGATATCCATACACCTAAACCTGTAGTACTAACTTGAACACGATTTGGATTGAAAATTGCTGGTGTAAATAATTCTTTATCATCGATAACCTTGGTCATTCTAGTTTTAGTATTATATTTAGTATGTCTTGTCTTCATTAATTCTCTATAACTTGAAGATTGAACATCGATTTTAATATCACATCTTAAACCTATATTACCTTCTAATGCTAATGATCCATCACTATCCTCTGAAAAGATCTTTAATGGTTGTGTTTCTAAATTATTTGCACTAGTCATTAATTGAAACTCATTATTTTCAGACAAACCTGAAATTGATAATGTAATCTTTATAATATAAAAATAAAAATCTGTTAATACGATTATTGTGAATTTGTATATACAATTATAATTAAACTTACATTATCACCACCTTTAATGTGAATTTTACCAATTTCGCCTTTACCTATACCATTCCAATGCTCTGAAAGAAATTTTGGGACTTTAATTAACCATACTTGATTATCAGCATTATCTGTATTAATTTCTCTTAAAGCTTCGTTTGTATCTTCACTCATTATATTTATAATTATTACCCAACAATGCGTGAAATTAAAAATAATGAAAAAAAAAAATAAAAATTTAATTAAAAAAAAAAAAAATTAAAAAAAAAAACAAAAAAAAAAAAAAATTAAAATAAAATTAAAATAATAAAAATAAAATAATAAAAATAAAATAATAAAAACAATATATTAAAAATACTATTTCTTAAAATTATTTTGTTTTTTAAATATTTATTTTAATAAGTGCTTCTATCACCACAAAATTTTAACCACTTTCAATATAAAAATATAACATGTTATTTAAATATTGGAAAAATACATCTCAATCCATACATCCATACATCCATTCACCCATTCACTCATTCACCCAAACTCCCACAATTTCACACTTTAAACTATGACATTATGTGGTGACTAGTTAAAAGTTTTTTTAAACATAAATCTTGTTAATTTAGAATCAAATATAAATCCTTTTCTAGAAATTTAAACTTTAAAGAAATTACAAAGTTTTTTTTTTTTTGGTTCTTAAAAATATTATCAAAAGCCTTCTAATATTTAGATTTTAACAAAACAATTAGAAATATTCTAATAGAGATGTTCAAAATGACCCAAAAAATAAAACTAAACGAATAGAAAAAATTATTTAATTACTCAATTATTTAATTTTCATTAAAATACAACATTTTACAAAAATAGTATTATTTTGTTAAATTATTAATATTAATAAATAAAAAGTATAATAATATTATTTATGAGTAATAAAAAGTTTAAAATTTCTAATAAACCCCACCCTAAAAAAATTATTTTTAATTTTTTTTCATAAAAATAATTGATTAATATTTTTTTTTTACAAAACATTATTTTTTAAAGAAAAAAACAATTTTCCTACTTTATTCCATTTAAAGTTTAAAACCTTAACCCAACTATTTATATTTATAACATTTAAAAAAATTCTTGAAATGAAGAAATAAATAAAATAAAAAAAATAAAAAAAAAATTTAATAAAAAAAAAAAAAGATATTTCACTTTTAAAATTTATTTATAACACACCTACCACACTTTTTTAAGTAAATAAACAATGGATATAAATACTATAATAAATAATAAAGATTTTAATCAACTAAAACTTTTATTACTAAATGACTTTAGTTTATATAAAAAAATATCACCAAAATCTTTTAAAATATTATTTGATATTAAAAATAACAATGATAAATCCAAAGAACTATACCACATAACAATAAAAATTTTAAGCATAACCTTAAAAGAGAATTGTATCCACCTATTGTTCCCTCAAGAAAAGATTTTAATTTTTAATGGTAATTTTATTTTTTATAATTTATATTATTATTTTTAACAATATGTCTAAATTTATTTCTATCATTTATAGAATTATTTGATTTTATTACAAATGAATCATATATAATCGATCTTAGAGTATATTGTTTACAAATAATACCAATGATTTTCAAAAAAAAAAAAGGTAAAAATAAAAAATTAAATAATTTTTTAAAAAAAAATACTAATTTAAATTTAAAGAATATATTGGTTTGGTAAAAGATATAATATACACATGCTTTAAAAATGAAAATGGGAAACCAATAAGAACCAATATTATCAATTTAATATTAAATAAAGATAATTTTTTAGTTAATGAGCATGGATATTATAATCCGAATTGGGACAGTTTTTATTTTCTAGATTTTTTTTTATCAAGTGTTTTGAAGGAATATTTTTTAAATTTAAGTGAAGATGATCAGGATAATGGGGAATATGATACACTAGTAGAATATTTAAATAAAATATTAGAGTATTTAATAAAACTATATAAAGGAAACAAAAGTGAAATAATAGATAGTAACAGTTATTTAAATTCAATTAAAAGCATTTTAAATTTTATTGTTTTTTTAAAAACTTCAAAGAGAATCGATAATATTAAAAAAAACATTATAGAATTATTATCAACAATAGTCAGAGAATCTGATGAAATCTCAGATATTTATATTCTCAATATTTTTATGGATTTCAAAAGAATATTGGGAAATGATTTAAACACTTTTTTCGAAGAACACTATTTAATATTAAAAGAGCAAAAAATGAAAACATCTTCAACAGAATCGCCAATAATAATAATGTATATATTATTTTTATTGAACAATACCCAATTATACAAATATTTAGATCTATATAGCGATAAAAACTCAATTAAAATTTTAATAAAGTATAAAAAAATTTTATTTTATTTTTTTATGTTGGTTTATTAATAAAAATTTTTTTATTATAGTTATTTAGGTTTTTTTAAAAATAAAGGTCCATATTACTTTTTAAGAGATTTATATTATAATTTTATAGAAGAATTTTTAGAAATATTTCTTTCAAAAGATGACTTTAAAAATATCCACTTTATAATAGAAATAGTATCACCACTACCATCAAAAGAAATAGCACAAAAATATTTTTTATTATTGTTAGATTTAGTTAACAAAAAAGAAAAAATATTAAATATAGATTATTTCAAATGTTTAAATATATTTTTGGATAATAATAAACTTCAGCTAGATAAATCAATATTAAATGATCATCAATTTCAATTAAATATCTTAAAGAGAATGGACTATTTTTTAGAAGAAAAAAATGATGAACTTTGTGAAATTATTTCTAAAAAATTAGGAGAATATATGCCAGTTTTACATTACAAATATATCAGCCTTGTAATCATAGATAAACCACCCATAAACTCTTCTAGTAAAAACTATGATTTATTTTTACACCCAATTGTAAATATATTAGAAAATGACTATGACTATTTCAACGAATTTTTAACCCACAAACAGTGCCACAGTTTTATTTCAAATTTAAAAAAAGTTTTATTTTTGAGTTCCTGTTCTGTAAAATTAATAAATTTATTTTTTGCATCCCAACTGTGCAAAAACAAAAGTATATTAAGTACCGAAAAAAAATCATTAGCAACAACATATATAGAAAGTTTTCAAAAAGATTTTGAAAGACACTTCAATTCACTCATCCTAATAAACAAACCAATGAATAGAGAATTTATAGTGGGTTTTTTAACATTAACATTTTTAATATACAATTTAATAAAAATAATACCAGAAAATAATCTCAGCTTACCATATGTTAAAGAAATCACCCAAATACTTTCACCATTTCAAAGTATACCAGTTTTCAAACTTGAAGGAAAAAACTTATATAATATACTATTCGAACTGT